CTCTCAGAGAGGTCCTTCATGATTGTCAATCTCTCTCCATCACTTTTGCCTCAACATTGCATTCTTAGCCGGGCATGGTATCACACTCCTTTGATCCTAGCACTTAGGAGGCAGAGGCAGGCGGATCTCTGTGAGTTCAAGGCTAGCCTGGTCTATAGAAGGAGTTCCAGGACAGCCAGAGCTACACAGAAAAACCTTGGCTTGGAAAAATAAAAACAAACAAAGCATTCTTAGCTAGGCATGATGGGCACACTTTAATCCCAACACTCATATGGCAGAGGCAGAAGTAGGTTATCTGTGAGTTCAAGGCCAGCCTGGTCTACAGAGAAACCCTGTCTTGAAAAAAAAAAACAAGTTTCATTCTTAAGGGTTGGAGAGATTCTTCAGTGTTTAAGAGCACAACACTTGCTGTTCTTACAGAGTACCCAGGTTTGGTTCCCAACACCCACATAATGGTTCTCAACCATCTGTAACTCCAGTTCCAGGGGATCTGATGCCCTTATCCAACCTCCAAAGGCATGTGTGTAGTGCATTACATACACTCACACAGTGTAGGCAAAACACTCACACAGATAAAATAAAAAGAAATAGATCTTTAAAATGTATTGTAAATTTTCTGTCTTTCTTTCTCCTCTATACTCTATGAAGTCAGGGAATCTGTTTTCTATGCTCACAGATGTAGACCCAGAGCTTTGTCTGGGTCTTATTAGGCTTTTGATAAATACATATTGAATTAAGGAATCAATCAAGGAAAGCAGAGAAAAGAAAAGGAACTGGGGCCAGTGTCTGGTATGATATGAAAGAGAGTTTACTTAATGAATCCAGGTTTGGGGACCAATGTTCAAATAAGCGTAACATCTGTTCCTACTATGTCTCCTCTATCCATCCAAAAATTATCTGCCAAAGACAGATGACTTCTCCCAATTTTCTCTGGTTTGATGATTTTTTTTTCTTTCCTTAACTCATTTTTTGTCCTACTAACAGATAATAAAAACAACAAGAACTAGAAGGCTGTGGCATCAGTCATCATAACTTCTCTTAGATAACCCTTTCATTCTTTGATGCAATGGTTAGTAACACCAAGTAAGTGCTGGAGACAACAGCATTGAACACAAAAGAATATTATTTTAATGTCAGAGGAGATAGCGATCACATTAAAAAGTAATATATTAGATACGACAGATTCTATAAAATAAAGTGAATCAGAGCAAATGACAGGGTTTGTGTGTGTTTTGGCTTTGTTTTATAGGGGGGGAGAATGTGTTAGTAGATACAGCAAATGATATAGTAATGAAGACCTCAAGTAAGTTTGGGACTGAAGCCTGTAACAGGGAGGAGCACAGGAGGATAGTAACTATGAAGAAGGGGGTATGATTTATGTGTTTGTTAAAGAGAGAGGATATTGGCATGGCTGGGCAAAGCCCTGGGGCAGGAGAACAACTGGAGATAAGGGAAGAAACTAGGGTTGGCATATCATTGGGATTTGTACTAGCTCATGTTGCTTACCTACTTGATAGGACCTAGAAACTCCCAGGAGATAAGCCTCTAGGTATGTGCACAAGCTAACTCTATATTGAGCTAACTGAGGTGGGAAGCCCCACCCTCAGAGTTTGTAGCATCTTCCCTTGGACCGGGATAGTGGAATGAATAAAAAGGATAATGTGAACCGAGTACCAGCATTCTTCTCTCTGTGTGTCTTGGCTATGGACGTAGATGTGACTAGCTGCCTCCCATTCCTGCCACAATGCCTTCCCTGAATATATTTCCTGAACTGAAAGCCAAAATAAACCTTTGTCCTTTAGGCTGCTGTCTCAGGTAATGGATCACATCATGAAAAAAGTAATAGAGGGTCTTACAAGCTATTGAGAAGACTTCAGCTTTTGCTCTGTGATTAAAAACCACTGTAGTATTTAGAGGGCCAAGTGACAGGATCTAATTTTAGTTTTTTACATCACTTTGGCTGCTGTTTTGAGAACAGTCAGACTGAAGTATCAGCAGGAGTAGGGAGAATAGCCAGGAGACTACTAACTTGGTGAATCAGTATACTTTGTGATGGTTTGGGCCAGAGAGTCATCAGTAGAGGCAGCAGTCAAATCTGGGTGGACTTTCTGCTTAAGTTGATGGGATAGTCTCTTACCTCCTGCTCCTCTTGGTACAGTCCAGGGAGACATCTATCTTTGTGCTCTCTGAGTTTGTTTGTTTGTTTTTTTGTTTTGTTTTTTGTTTTTTGTCTTTTTTTTTATATGAGTGGCAGGTCCTAATGAGGAGATCTGCATTTCTTTCTTTGGGGCTTGAGTTTCATCCAAGAAGGCAGTACTGTCTGTCCCAGAGTGAGTGACAATACAGAACCTTCCTGTGAGGACGGGAACATATTGATGAGTATTTTGATGAATATATTGATGAGTATATTGTAGAGGTCCTCTGTGAAATACAGTACATATAAATAGCAATACTTACTGGACAAATAACTTATGTTAAAAGTGTTATGATAAAGTGTATGTGGGACATTGGCAGATTCCATGGCAGGTGAGGGTGACCGTGGTGGGGGACAAACATGCCAGACAGACAGAGCTTAGTGAGAAGTTTTATCAGAAAGGGAAAGGGCAGGGGAGGAAAGAGAAAAGAGGTAAAGAGACACAGACAGAGGACAGAAGGGAAGAAGGAGGCAGGAAAAGTCCTGTCTGCCCCAGGGAAACAGCAGGAAAGAGAGAGCATAAGTGCAACCATGGAACACTGGGCTGACCAGGATACTACCTGAGTGCATTCTGCCAGGTGACAAGGGAAATCTAACATAATGCCCCAATCCTTACAAAATGTTCTAATTACAATAAAAAAAAAAAAAAGAGAGAGAGAGAGACTCTTCTGAGAGGTTGGAGAGACTATTTACAATAGAGCTGGGGAAATAGCTCAGGTGGGTAAAGAGCTTGTTTTGCATGAGTAACATCCCAAATTAAGATCCCCAGAGATGTAGGATGGGTCTACAATCCCAGGACTCCTACAGTGAGATAGGAAACAGAGACAGGCAAATCCCTGGAAGCTTTCTGGCCACCAAGCCTGGCTGGCATAAGCAGCAGCAAACACAAGAGCTCCTGTGTCAAACATGGTGGAAGTTAAGGATGGAAACCTGGGGTTATCCTCTGACTTTCATATGCATCTTGTATGCACTCCCCACAACAGCACAGAAAGATAGCTAATTTTAAAAATCTCCATTAAGAAATAATTGGGCTGTTGAGATGGCTTAATGGGTAAGGACGATTACTACGATGCTTGACAACTTGAACTTGATGGCTCTGGATGGTGTTGTGCCCAAATCCTGAACCCCAAAATCACCAAGAGACCCATTCCGTTGCAAAATCAAAGAGTCGTTTATTGTTTAAGGAGTAAACTGTCTTAACTCAGGCCCTTCATGTGTTCACCACAGCCAGGAGAAACCTCAATGCGGGGGGGGGGGGGGGAATTTATTGGGGTATGCAAGGGGAGTGTGTGGGGGGGTTATGCAACAGTCTCAGGATTGGTGCGCTTCCGGGCCCTATCTGTGTTGATTGGTTAACTGGTTGTTATGGCCTATAGGCCCTCCCAGGGCTGTTGCTATGCTCTGCATGTCACTGTTACACCACTTTTACTGTAAAGCATACCCAGAGCCTGCCAGCTAACTTCTGATTGGTTCTTTGCCACGTGAAGGGTACCTGACCTCCTAGTGACTAGGGCAGCTCCTGCAAGGTCAGAAGGACAGAAACCTGTGTTTAGAGGCTATATCTTACTGGGTCTTTTATGCAGCCTGTCACATAGCCCAAAGCAGGGGGCTGGGTAGAATGACAGAATCAGCTCCCACAGGTTGTCCTTTGATCTCCACACGGGCCCATGGCACATGCTTTTAGGAATACGTTTAAATTTTAAAAAGCATGCCCCATGAGAGGTGTAGTTAGTTTAGTGGTGAAGTGCTTGCCTAGAATGCATGAGACCCTGGATTCAGCCTTGATCACTATCAAAGAGAGATAGAAAATAAATAAATACATCACTATTAGCTGAAGATGTGAAAATAGCATTTTGGAAAAAAGACTTCATCGTTAAAGACAACATGAGATCAAGAAAAATGTGGCTAAATTTTATGGATCGTTAAGTTCTGGCGATAGCTATATTGGTGTTCAGTAGACTGTGTTTTCTTTGTTTTGTTAATTTTCCCTAATAAAAGTACTTTAAAAAAAGAACTAAAACCAATGCTTTTATTATTTATTTAATTTTTTTTATTGTTCGCGTGTGTGGGAAGTATAGTAAAGAAGTACAATAAAACATGCTCTAGGGCTGGGAAAGTAGCTCGGTTGGTAAAGTGCTTTCCAATAGCATGCTTGTGGTCTTGGGTTAAATCAGGCATGTGGCGCACGTGTGTAACTCCAGTGCTAGTGAGGTAAAGACAAGAGGATCCTAAATTGTAGGTCATCTTAAGCTATACAGCAAATTAAGAATGCAGCCTAGGCTCTACGAGACCCTCAGAAACAAGCAAACAAAAACTCTGTACTTCTTTCATCTTTTCGCCAGCTGTAACCTTGTATCCTGCTCTCTGCAACCATCCCCCCCACCCCTCCAATTAATGATGTGCACCAGCTCGTTTGTTTACTGATGTTTGGGTCCTACTCCCAGCGAGCCTGATTTCATCGGTATGAGGTAACGTCTGGGCACTGAGGTTTTTAAAGAAGTGCTCCAGGTGATGTTCACATGCAACACTGTGACAGGCTCCTTTGGGGAAAGATTTCTTCACACAAGAGCTGTTTATGCTCAGGCGTGGGCTCTCTTTGGTGGGTTCAGGAAACCAAGCCCCTTCCACACGCCAAACACTCGAAATAATTCCGGGACAGCCCAAAAAATAGAATGCTAACGGGGCTGCCGGCGCTCTGCCCCTCACTCAGGCCTCTATGGTACTTTGGAGGACTCTCTAGCAAACTGAAGTCGTTTTCTCTTCGGCCAGGCGGTGGCTCCATCTCTATGGTAGCGGATTTCCCCCAGCGCCGCCGGGTCGGCATTTTCTTCCGGATCAAAGAAGAGGTTGGACTTCCATCCCGGATGTGACCCACGTGCTTCTTATTTCTTCTAGCTGGGTACCCGGCAACTTTTTACTATTGATCCGAAGTTGGGGACGTCGTGGGACCTGTGACCTGACCCAGGCTGTGGTGAGTGGGCCACAGTGTCTGACCCCCCAGAGTGGTCCCGATGATGGCATCGCATGACAGGCTCAGCCTTTGGGCCGGCTCCAGGAGCTTCGGTTGTGGTTAGGGTCTGATTCTCAGGACTGCGCGGGCCAGGCCCACGGTTTCGAGTGTTCTGTTCTTACCGTGGATCCTCTGGCTAGGGGCGATCTCGAGGGACCGAGAGGTCTCAGTCTCCGGCTCTGTGCTCATGACACCCTGAGTGACCTTGAGCTGGGCACTGTCTCCTTTAAGGGCCTCATTTCCACTTGTGTTAAGAGGGCTGACTACGTTTACTGAGGGCAGTGGTCCCTGCTGGTCTGAAACGCTGTCCCCCCAATCCCCGAGTACTAGGGTGAAGAGGGAGGGGTCGGTGCTGATGATCATGTCTGCTCCTAGGACTAAAGACCAGGAGACAGTTCTGCACGGTGCTAGTTTGGCATGGATCCGCTTAGAGCCCAGCAGCTGGCTGCGGAGCTGGAGGTGGAGATGATGGCCGACATGTACAACAGGTAACAGAACCACTCCACGGTATCCTGTGCTGGGAAATTAGCCCGGGTGAAGGACTTGTAACGAATGCTTTCCGTTAGGGAGTGGAGCTAAGTCCCACCCCTCACCCTCTGCCCCACACTCACCATGTGCTTGGCTAAATACAGGTCAGGAGACGGACTAGGCAATTTAGGGTGAATAAAAGGGGCGTGAAGGAGAATCTCCTGTCAGGATCTGTGAGTTTCAAGAACAAGTAGCATTAACTTTAAAATAAACAAACTAGATAGTCCATTGAATTGCTTTTGTTTATGTATTTTGTGTTTATGAGTGCCACCGTGCATGCCATAGCAGCACACTAGTGAAGGTCTGAGAACAACCTAGTAGGTGTCCATCTTTCCTTATACCTTATGGGTCTGGTCTCAGGGACTGGACTCAAGTTCTGACTTGGCAGCAAGTGCTTTTGCCTCCTGAGCCATCTGAACATTCATTTAGTAATTAATAGCATTTGGTAGCTCTAATATTCATTAAACTTTTCTTTTTTTTCCTTTTTTTTTTTTTTTAACCAAGCTGGCCTCGAATTCACAAAGATCACCAGCCTCTCCCTCTTGAGTGCTGGGAATCAAAGGTGTGCACACCTGGTCTTTACTAAACTTTAACTCTGTGTTAAGCACTTGGAAAACATTTTATATACATTATCATTTAAAATTTTTTTTCAAGTTTATTTGTTTTTAGTTAATATGTATGGATATTTTGCTTGAATGGATGTATATACAGTACATGCCCAAAGAGTTCAAAGAGGGCATCAGATCCATTGGAACTGAAGTTACACACAGTTGTGAGTTTACCATATGGGTTCTGGGGACCAAACCCAGGTCTTCTGCAAGACCAGTAAGCTCTCCTAACCAGAGAGCCACCTCTCTAGTTCCCCGTTATCCTTTTTTATTTTTTAATACTCACTGGGAGAAGGGGGGTCTAACTTTTGGTAGGGTGCTTTACTAGAATGCAAGAAGCCCTTGGCTTGATACTGATGTGGTGCTTTTGTAATTTCAACACTTAGAGATGGAGGACAGAGGATCAATAGTTCAAGGTCATCCTTGGCTACATAGTGGTTTTGAGGCCAGCCTGGGATAGATGACACCAGTCTGAGAAGAAAAAAAAGGGGGGGGGGAAATAAATAAATAAAAATCAGTGGGTTAATTTTATTAGTGCTATTTTAACATCGGGGAATTGAGATATCAAGGGGTTTAGTAATGTCAGCATCAAATAGCTGGTCAGTAGCAATGTTAGAACCCAATTCTTCAGGCTGATTTTACAACTATTGATTGTAGCTGTTTGGCCAATTTGGAAACAAATCCTGGTGCACCAGTCACCTGCTTAATGTCTTTGGATATGTTGTCTCATAATTGATTATATCATCAATGAAACTGATGTAATAAATACTACTTTGTGAAGACATTATTAATATTGAACATAAAAGCCTTTAGCACTGAGCATTCAGCAAATAGGATGTCTGCTGGTTTTAGTCAGCAGAAGCGCTTTTCATTGGTTGATTTTATTTTGGAAGCCACAAATTACTTTTTTTTTTTTTTTTTTTTTTTTTTTTTGCTTTGCTTTTTCAAGACAGGGTTTCTCTGTGTAATAGCCCTGGCTGTCCTAGAACTCACTTTGTAGACCAGACTGGCCTAGAACTCACAGAGATTCTTCTGCCTCTGCCTCCCAAGTGCTGGAATTAAAGATGTGCGCCACCACTGCCTGGCTCAAACAAAGTTCTTAATCTGAAGAACCATCCAAGGTGGTTGAAATAAAAACAGGATTTACATCATTTTCTTGAGAGGGAGAGTGAGGCCAAATCAGTACAGCAGAGTTGGAATTGTTGAAGGGCCCTGGGATGCCACAGGAAGTTACTGACATAACCTTGTCCCTCTCTAATCCCAGAATGACCAGTGCCTGCCACCGGAAGTGTGTGCCTCCCCACTACAAGGAAGCAGAGCTGTCCAAAGGCGAGTCTGTGTGCTTGGACCGATGTGTATCCAAGTACTTGGACATCCATGAGAGGATGGGCAAAAAGTTGACAGAGTTGTCTATGCAGGATGAAGAGCTGATGAAGAGGGTACAGCAGAGCTCTGGACCTGCATGAGGCCGCAGGCAGTATTCACCTGGGGTGCACCTTGCCACATTTCTGATTAAAGTGTTCCCTAATGGGTGTCGTATGTGAAAACTGTCACACTTAGGCTCTCTGGAGCATCTCCAGGACCCCTGGGTTTGGTAGAGCTCTCCTGGCTAAAGAAGGGGACTTGTCACGCTGGTTTGTGACTGTGTATGTGTGTATATGTATATATCGATATTAAAACAAATTTGTGCAAAGCAGTGTCTTTAGTATTTGATAGTAATGACTTGAGCTAGAGTATCTCCAACAGTAGACAGAATTTGATGCGGTGGGCCTTTCTGTTTGTTTTGGGTTGGGTTTTGTTTTAGGACTGTAGATTAGTAAGATCAATAGGTTTCTGTTCTGAGTATGCTGCTTGCTGTATGGCCCTACATGTGACATATCTCTACTTACTGGAGTGACTCAGGTAGGGACTAAAGTTTTTAAAATTTTTGATATTAAGTGGAGGCAAGCCGTTTTTTCTATCCACATCACATATTAAAATGAAATGACTTACAGGAAGTGCAAGTGGATGGGATTTAGGGAGCAAGTAGCCAGGCTCTGCTCTAGATGACATTGCCAAGGCATGCAGCAGACGAGCATCATGGATAGAGGTTCAGGTGACTCTATTTGTGTTCATTTGATTCAGACTGCTCCCAGTCACTTCTCCGTATCCAAGACTGAAGGGTGGAAACAGGAGGCAGCTGCTTGCTGCAGGTTACACAGTAGAGCAGTGGGGAAGCCAAGACTGACTGAGACAAGCCCCACTTCTGTCTGAGGAGGCCCTTGGAGGAGTGCAGCTTTCATGATGTGTGGGTCATTCTAGAAGGCACTTGACAGCGAAAGTGACGTTCATGATAGAGGTGTCTGGGATGGAGTAAGGACTATAGAGGCAGAGACTTTGGTCAGCTTACCAGTGCATGCCCAAATAGGTTTGGGTCTTGGCTAAGGTTTTTCTAGCTGCAGGAGTCATTTAACTGCTTCCATTACCCTTTGTGTAGAAATTGCAGTATGGTCCTACCTGCCTCCTTGGGTAACTGAATAACTCAAAACACTTAGAAAAGTATCTGAAATACATCAAGCACTCAATTATTTACTAAATTTGATGGGAAGTGGAGACACTGCAAGTGGTTCTCAACCCGTGGGTCACCACCCCTGGCCTGGGTTGCATATTGAATATCCTCATAAGAGATTACAGTTAGGAAGTATCAAGGAAATAATTTTATGTCTGGGGGGGATTACCACAACATGTGGAAATGTATTAAAGGGCTGCAACATTAGGAGAGTTGAGAACCACTGCACTAGATGGACTTCTGTAAAATTTCAAAACCTTTGTATCATTAAGGTGGGAAGACTGTCGAAAGGATTTCTAAATGCTGAAATACAAACCTAGGCCAGCAGGTGGTGCTGTCTGCCCTCGGGTCTGAGCTGCTGGGACCAGAGCCACAAAGTTGCTGCAAGTTTCTTGACTTCTGCCAGTAATGCACAATGCTAGGAAGAGAGGAGTCACTGAGGAAAAGAGATACTGTGTCTACCTCCAGGTCTAAAAGGGACATAATGAGTATTCTCTTGATAGTTCACAGCTGGAACAAACAAGGCCTGGTGGACAGAGGGAGAAGAACTTCCAGCTCAGGGATAACTCTTACAAAGGCTTTGCCATGACAGGGAAATGTGGAGCTCTGGGAAACTGGCTGCAACACTAAGTGTGAAGAGAAAAACTGAGTGATGCACCCAGAAGCCTTTTGGAAAGGCTCAACTTCAGAACAGCCTAGGGAGTGGGTTGTGTTAAACCATTTGGATTTTCGCCTGGTAAGGGCATCAGCAAACTGTTAGAGGATTTAAACCTTACCATGACAAAGACAGCTCTGCTTTTCAAAGACTTACTCTCCCTGTTAGATAGTGTTAGATAACAGAAGTTCATGGTGCAGATGGTGAGGAGAGAAATGGGGGATGACATAAGACTAGCTCACATTTATTGAGTTGCTGTAGCTTAGCTCTGCTATACCTCACATGTATGAATTTGCTTACTGTTAGGACAACACTAAGGCAGGTACAATGGTTGCATTTTATAGATGAAGAGGCCGAGACTCAAGAGTTAATCACTTGTCCAAGGCAGAACTGAGATCCCAACTTACAGACCGGAGGCTGCTTAAGCTGCTGTTCACGGAGTCAGGGCAATTCCCTAAGGAGGGGATATTGCAGAATTTTTGCATTTTCAGGCCATTTTCTGTGGGACATGCACGGAATGAGTCGGTAGGGTTCTTGCTGCCAATGAATAAACAGAGTGGAGTGAAGGATTGGAGAACTGGAAGACATATTCAAAAGGTAGGAGAAAGAAGATGGAACTCAGGCGTTCCTGTCATTTGGAGGAAGTATAAACCCAGATTTGGTTTCCCTTGATTTTCCCAGTTTTGGAAATTGGTAAATATCTCACAAAAAATCTAGGCTGTGGCTACTTTTAAGGAGTCAGAAGATCTGTAAATCTGCATTACAGTTTGCCAACAGTCTGCTGGAAGGTGGGCAAAGTTTCAGCCATTCACTAAGTCACAACTAGTCTTCGTCTCCTCCTCACTGGCCTGACTCTGTGGGCTCTGGTCTATGCCTTCCACTGCTAGTGTGTTCCGTGGTAGGCAACATCTAAGACTCCTGGTGGTGCCACCTGGTATTTGCCCCCTCCCTGTGTGCAATGTGCAGGAGACCGTGAGACTTCTTATAAAAAGGCCCTAGCTAAGGTGATAGGATGTAGTTACGGAGGACTGCACACTCTTGTTCCCTTTTCTACTAACTCTGATGAAGCCAGCTCCCATGTGGTGAGCTGACCTGGCCAAAGCCCCTGTGGTAAGCAATATTTCCATGGTGAATGCCACATCATGTGAGTGAGCCTACCTCTGCTTAGCTTTCAGATGAGAGCATCCCTGATCTGCACTTTGCAGCTTGGGAGAGACATTGGCGGTCAGGACCCAGCCAAGTCATACCTTATCTCCTACTAATCTGGAGAGGCTGAGATCATAAATATTTGTTCAAAGCGTTATATTTTGGGTTAATTCTGCCATAGACAGCTCATACTCATGTTGTCTATTTACCTGAAGAAGTTGTCTGAGACTCTTGGTCATTTCACACCTATGCTAGAATGTGTTGAGTACCATTCTAGGCCCGTGGGATACATCAGAACAAAACAGTAAGACACAACCCCTTTATATTGTAGTGGGGGTTCTGTTTTGAAGGGCAGACAGACCTTCAGGATCTAGGGGAAGGGTCTTATGTTCTTTCAGGTCTCAGACCCCTTTAAAAAATCTGACAAATGCTAAGAACCATTTCCTCACTGCATGCATATAGACTTGTGTGGGAGTTATTGTGTGCTAAGCAGAGAGGGGTCTTGTAATGAGTCTTAGGTGATAGTGTCAAGAGCTGTTGCAGCCATGATGCAACTACAGCAGATGACAACTGATATATATAAGGCCGAGCCACCAGGTGATCGACTAATCTGATGGAGGAAATTCATAGGCAAGGCTTATGAAAATATTGCCTATAAATATTGACTGCTTCTGGCTGTAAATTCATATGTGCAAAGACAGCTAGGGTATCTCCCCAGTACCTGCACTGTGATGTGTATATGTAACCTCATAATTACATCTCAATTTTATGGATACATATATCTATCTGTAGATGGTCAGGAAGATGACTTCTCATTAAGCTGTATAATTTTGGTATATAGAAAATATACTAGGGTATGCTTCATAACCAGACCTATTAGTCCATGAGGACTGTAAGACACTTAGGCCGTTTTGGTTTTTTTTTTTTTTTTTTTTAAATCACCAGCTCAGACTGGCATAAAACAACAATTCTCAGTTCTAAGATTAAACACATACAATTAATTGACTCATAACCTCAAGAGCAAATTCAAATTAGATTGAATGTCTCCATGAATGGATCATAAGCTAAAAACTTTGCAGTTATGCACAAGGACAGAATTGCAGGTGCTTAACCAAGGTTATTAGCACAAAGCAGCAGAGATCTGTTATGCTAGCTCCTTTAGCCAGGCCTGGCTGATAACAGACCAGCAACCTGCCTCCTGTGGGTTGCCATGGTTACTCACAGACTGCTCACAAAGGGCCCCAGCCATGCAGCTGTACTCCTCCTGTTAGGGCTGTGAGGAAAATGACACCTTTACATCTTGTTAATCACACAATGTTGGTCTATAAGGCTTAATACACTTAAGAAATGTAGAATAGTACATGACTTCTTTTTTTCTTCCTTAGACCTCTCAATAGTTTAGCCTTTCTCTTCTATTACCCCTTGTAAGCAACCTTCTTAAGTGATAATACTACAGTTGAAACACTCCCTTTTACAGCTGCCTACTAACCAGAAGCTGACATGTTTATTTCATGAGTGTCCCTTATCCTTTACTCAAGGATGCATTGGGATGATGGCCCAGCAGTTAAGAGCAGTGACTGCTCTTCCAGAGGACGAGGGCTCAGTTCTTCCAGAGGCTCTGGATTTAATTCCTAGCACCCACATGGTGACTCCAGGGGAGCTCAGGCCCTTTACTGGCCTTCTCTGGCATTTCTCACACATGGTGCAGAGATACATATCCAGAAAAAAACACTTGTACATATAAAATAAATAAAAATTAGCCAGGTGGTGGAGGCACACACCTTTAATTCCGGCACTTGGGAGGCAGAGGCAGGTGGATCTCTGTGAGTTTGAGGCCAGCCTAGTCTACCCAGCGAGTTCCAGGATAGGCTCCAAAGCTACAGAGAAACCCTGTCTCAAAAAAGCACCCCCCCAAATGCATTGGGACCCTGAAAAGCTTCTGTAACTTTTTTGTGTGTGTTTGTTTTTAATTGAAAAGAGTTTGCCATTAAATATGTATATGAGCTGTATGAACAAGGCAGGTAGGGAGAATTGGAACAGAATTATAGAGAATTGGAGCTAAAAATTTAGAACTATGAGAGCTGGAAATAAGAAGAACATGACCTCAGAGATGTATGTCTTCTTCCTTTAGACTGGAAATTTCCCCAAAGTCCTCACTCCCCTGAGGCAATCTTTTCACTATCCTGGGTGTAGTCCTGGGAGCTGGACTTCCCAGGCTTTGACATGATAGGACATAGTGGAATGAGGTTTTAACAGATCTAGTCGGTGGGGCAAATATTAAAACCAGGTTTTGGACTATAAACTGACCAGGACACACTCATGTGTAGAAGCCTCTTCCTCGAAGCTG